TGTAGGTCTACAATCTTGTCCCTGACATCCTTGGAGAGCTCTTTGGTCTTGGCCATGTTGGAGAGTTTGGAATCTGATTGATTGATTGCTTCTGTGGACAGGTGTCTTTTATAGAGGTAACAAACTGAGATTAAGAGTGTGCTCCTAATCTCAGCTCGTTACCTGTATAAAAGACACCTGGGAGCCAGAAATCTTTCTGATTGAGAGGAGGTCAAATACTTATTTCCCTCATTAAAATGCAAATCAATTTATAACATTTTTTACATGCGTTTTTCTGGATTTTTGTTGTTGTTATTCTGTCTCTCACTGTTCAAATAAACCTACCATTAAAATGATAGACTGATCATTTCTTTGTCAGTGGGCAAACGTACAAAATCAGCAGGGGATCAAATACATTTTCCCTCACTGTACATATATATACAGTGGGGAGAACAAGTATTTGATACACTGCCGATTTTGCAGGTTTTCCTACTTACAAAGCATGTAGAGGTCTGTCATTTTTATCATAGGTACACTTCAACTGTGAGAAAAAAAATCCAGAAAATCACAAAGTATGATTTTTAAGTAATTAATTTGCATTTTATTGCCTGACATAAGTATTTGATCACCTACCAACCAGTAAGAATTCCGGCTCTCACAGACCTGTTAGTTTTTCTTTAAGAAGCCCTCCTGTTCTCCACTCATTACCTGTATTAACTGCACCTGTTTGAACTCGTTACCTGTATAAAAGACACCTGTCCACACACTCAATCAAACAGACTCCAACCTCTCCACAATGGCCAAGACCAGAGAGCTGTGTAAGGACATCAGGGATAAAATTGTAGACCTGCACAAGGCTGGGATGGGCTACAGGACAATAGGCAAGCAGCTTGGTGAGAAGGCAACAACTGTTGGTGCAATTATTAGAAAATGGAAGAAGTTCAAGATGACGGTCAATCACCCTAGGTCTGGGGCTCCATGCAAGATCTCACCTCGTGGGGCATCAATGATCATGAGGAAGGTGAGGGATCAGCCCAGAACTACACGGCAGGACCTGGTCAATGACCTGAAGAGAGCTGGGATCACAGTCTCAAAGAAAACCATTAGTAACACACTACGCCGTCATGGATTAAAATCCTGCAGCGCACGCAAGGTCCCCCTGCTCAAGCCAGCGCATGTCCAGGCCCGTCTGAAGTTTGCCAATGACCATCTGGATGATCCAGAGGAGGAATGGGAGAAGGTCATGTGGTCTGATGAGACAAAAATAGAGCTTTTTGGTCTAAACTCCACTCGCCGTGTTTGGAGGAAGAAGAAGGATGAGTACAACCCCAAGAACACCATCCCAACCGTGAAGCATGGAGGTGGAAACATCATTCTTTGGGGATGCTTTTCTGCAAAGGGGACAGGACGACTGCACCGTATTGAGGGGAGGATGGATGGGGCCATGTCTCGCGAGATCTTGGCCAACAACCTCCTTCCCTCAGTAAGAGCATTGAAGATGGGTCGTGGCTGGGTCTTCCAGCATGACAACGACCCGAAACACATAGCCAGGGCAACTAAGGAGTGGCTCCGTAAGAAGCATCTCAAGGTCCTGGAGTGGCCTAGCCAGTCTCCAGACCTGAACCCAATAGAAAATCTTTGGAGGGAGCTGAAAGTCTGTATTGCCCAGCGACAGCCCCGAAATCTGAAGGATCTGGAGAAGGTCTGTATGGAGGAGTGGGCCAAAATCCCTGCTGCAGTGTGTGCAAACCTGGTCAAGACCTACAGGAAAAATATGATCTCTGTAATTGCAAACAAAAAGGTTTCTGTACCAAATATTAAGTTCTGCTTTTCTGATGTATCAAATACTTATGTCATGCAATAAAATGCAAATTAATTACTTAAAAATCATACAATGTGATTTTCTGGATTTTTGTAAGTTTTGTAAGTAGGAAAACCTGCAAAATCGGCAGTGTATCAAATACTTGTTCTCCCCACTGTATATGTGACATTTCTGCCCAGACTTAATGGGAAAGTTTTATAGTCTAATTTTCTCCCACTATTTTTTTTGTTCACTATTTTGTCACTCCAGTTTTGTTCTCTCAAAGTAATTTACACTTTGCCTCTTTGTATGGATTTTCCTATCCTCCCTTCCCTTATCTATATTTTTCTCTTTCATCACCCTCTCTCCCTCCATCCTTCTCCTCCCTCTCCAGGGTGCAGCTCAGACAATTAGGGGTTTGTGACCTTGCAGTGTCCCAGCGAGGGCAGCTCTGCTTTGGGGAAGGAGCCAGCTCAACCCCCATGGAGCCACAGCTGGCCTCTGGAGCTATATATAGAGCTGGGTCTCATACGCACGCACAGAGAGAGAGAGAAGAGAGAGAGAGAGAGAGAAGCCAAGAGGGAAAAGGAATGATGCAGAACAGACAGAAAGAAAGATCCCCCAGCCCTCAAGTCAGTGTTATATGACATTGGAGTGACATTGAGTGCTGTCAGTGTGAAATGCCTTTGCTCCAGAGCTGTGTAGATCAGCTTTGTAGCTTCTGACATCAGAGAATGTCTGGAGCTTCTCAACCTGTGTCTCTCTCTCTCACAGACACACACACACTCTCTTCCACGCTGTCAAAATGTCATCTGCTGATTTACTCTTCCGTTTTTGCTGACTCTCCTCTAGAGCGCTCTCTCTCTCTCTCTCTTCTCTCCTTCTCTTTCTCCTGAAAGACTCACTGTAGCACATACAGTAACAGTGAAGGCGTTACGTCAACAGCTCGTTAACACTTTGGTGACGTTGTAACCAGCATCACGCTAGGGCTCCCACAAAGAACGCTTAGTAAGCAATGAAAAAACGTTGGTCTAACATGATCATCTAAACCTAGAGTATCATTCTGGTGCCGTCACACTGGGTTTATGTCATATGCTACTTGATACTCTACAGTATATCCAGTGGAAATGGCCTACATAGTTCTATTAAACACAACTCCCACTAACAGAACATACAGTCGGCCTACAGTATGGTCCCTCCTCAACATAATCTCTGTCATGGCTCAGATGTTTTGGTTCCATTTCCTCTGTTCATTTGGTTACATCTCTATCCTGATGTTTTGTTTTGGTTTGATTATGGTCATTGTTCTTCTGATCTGACGTTTTGAGTCATTGATCTGACTGAGCATCAGTCTGGTTTTGGTGCTGGTTGTAACCATGGACTGAATTAGTTTAGGTCAGTGGTTGTGGTTGTGACTTTGTTGTTCTAGTGTTGTAGGGATGTTGTGTTGTGATTTTGACCCCCTGTCTGCCAGATGGTATCTCAGTCCTTTTAAGCCCCAAAGCATCATGTGTAGCCAGCTGAGACAATGGCATCTCCACAGGGGGCACGTAAACACAGCAGCACTACTACTGTCCAGTAACAACACTGTGTGTGTGTGTGTGTGTCTGTGTGTGTGTGTGTGTGTGTGTGTGTGTGTGTGTGCTTATCTATGAAAAGAGGGAGACCACCAAGCTGTTGCCATAGTAACTGTTGAGTTGATCCTTTGTATTGGGAGATGGCTGCAGTCTATTAACTCTGCTGTTTATTTAATTAACACACTACTCAATGTGTCTAATGAGCCACATTAAGGAGACAGAGGTGGGGATAGGAAGAGGTCAGGGACTGATCTTCTGTCTAGTCAGGACGAACAGATCAGAGGATTGTCAGTAGAGTGTGCTAGTCATAGTCAGTCTCACAGTCCCAGTAGAAGGGGGAGGTAGTCATTGTATTGGTCAGGGGTCAATTGAAGCCTTGCTCCACAACTTCAGAAAATGATCAGGTTAATATGTATTGATTATCTTTAATGGAGCCAGGACACAGCCTAATAATGCCCATTTAGTCCTGCCAGTACTCATGAGACAGTATATAACAGTGGGTTGTGATTTATTACCACTTCAATGCATTGATTATGGACATGACGTTGACAGGCTAGGTGCAGTGCAGGGATCTAGTGAGCTTACATTCCTCAGTGATATTTCACAGGTGTCCTCTCGTTGCCTGTAGGACCCATTGGGCACGCTAAGGGCAGCTCTGTCATCGTGTCTGGATCAGTTTTTTTGGCAGAAGAACAAAAACAGCCAATTAATTACACAGCTGGAGCACTATACAAGACCTAGTGACTGAGGGCTCTACTCTTTCTCTCTCTCTATTTCTCGCTCTCTATTTGTCCCCTCATTAGCTGAACACAGCGGGTGGCGACAAAGCTAGTCGACCATTAAAATGCTTTCCATGTTTTCCTGCATTGACCTCGCTTTGTGGTTTAAAGATGTGTGTGTCTCTGTGTGTCCAGCTGCTTGGTTTAAAGACGTGTCCCGTAGGCTGTGTTTCTGCTCCTGCTGAGACTGGGGCTTTGACCAGACCCCCTGACTGGTGGGATACTGTCTTTAAATGCAACTTTAATCAGACAGTCACAGAGGGAGTGTGTGTGTGTGTGTGTTAGCGTCAAATAAAGAGGCCCCAATCTCCTTTGGCTGGTTCACAGTAACAGCAGAGATTTGAGTTAATCTCTAGACTTCCTGTAACACAGATCAAACCAGAAGGACCAGATCCAGAACTAAACCAGACAAGAATAAATCCAAAGCAGACTAAATTAACACTAGAGCTAGAAAACAGAACAGAAATCCTTCCTGGAAGCATTCTTTGACAAACATGGCTATGAGAGAAATATGTGTGTGTGTGTTATCATTAAATCCCTGTGTCCCAGTGGGAGTGTGAGACAGGAGGCAGTGCAGAGCGAACCGAGGGTTGAGGGATGCAGGGAAGCGTGCTGAGATCAGGAACGACAGGGAACCATGAAGCACACAGGATTAGAGAGAGAGAGAGAGAGAGGAGAGAGAGAGAGAGAGAGAGAGAGAGAGGAGAGAGAGAGAGAGATAGAGAGAGAGAGATAGAGATAGATAGCTAGAGATGATGCGAGAGATAGAGAAGACAGAGAGCTAGAGAGAGAGAGAGAGAGCAAGTGAAATAGGAAAATGTAAGAGCTAGAGGGCATGTCTATTCATTCGAGAAATAGTTGTGTATGTATGCTTTTGCGTGCGTGTGTGTGTTTGCCATTGACTCCTACTGTGACAACGCCAGCTCCTGCTGTGAACGGTGGGTGACACTTTGACCTCACGTGACCCCTCACAGCTTGACCCCTGACCTTTAGTCTGCAGTATGGAGAATTAGAGTGAGTGTCACTTCCTCATTTCCTATGTGTCAGAGGTCACATCGTCTGGTGGTGAGTGTGTAAACAGGGAATTCTGAGTCTGTGAGGAGCATGTGAGGATTTTGGTGGGAGAGCACAGGGACTCAGGGAGAGTCTGTTTGTTCTATAAACAATCAATCACTCTGAAGTAGCTAGTGAAAACAGGGACTAGATCTGTGATGGGTCAGATGAATTGCAGGCTGTTGACACAGCCCCCTCCTATAGTTTTACCCCCCTCCCCCCAGATGACAGACGAGTAGACCTCACACAGACTGACAGCCATAGTTTGTACATCTCAGTTGTTATAATGCTTATATAGGTCTATCTCATTAGTATCTTATTCATCATTTTAGGCAATGCTGGAATGATTTTCATTGTTTTGCTTACTTTGTGTATTATAATTAGCTCATGTGCTTTTCTCAACGAGGAGGGGATACTATAATAATAATAATAATAATAATAATAATAATAATAATAATAATAATAGGCCATGCATAGCCAATGTGATTTATTTTTATCAGGATATTTTCTACCTGCAGGCTGCAATGTTTTAATTTGTTGGCTTTATGTAGGCTATTTTTAGTTGGCAATGGCAATAGAAGTTACTTTTAGATTTGTATAATTTTCATTTCGTTTTAGATATCATTTTTATTAATCACATGACAATGATTTTGAGATAGGAAGACTAATTAAATAAATGAAACTGTTCCACGAAAATGTGCATACGAAAATCATAACTGGCACGCAGATCGGTAGAAATGGTAAGATAAATCGTCACACCCACACAGTCAACTGACTTATAAAAGGTGCTATGTTGTTGGGTCTGTAATCATGTTCAATAATAGACCCATGTAATTCCAGTTGATATTTGAGAGGGTTGTTTTGTTTGCGCAATGCGCTGTCTGTGTGTCGGTATATTGTCTATAAAAGTGGATCCTCATGATTGTATTTCCCTTCCTTTTTAGAACACGTAGGCCTACTAAAATAATACAATGTTGTGTAGTGGCTTTGCTGGTATGCATCTAAAACAATTGGTTAAGTTTGCCCCACCAAGATTTACAAGTTAAAATCACCAGTGGTGTGTAGTCGTTACAAAGACACTGGCCACAGATACTCACTGTCTTACCCACCTCCTATCCTATTCAACTGAACTGTAAAGGAGGTCATCGTGTGTTTGTGTGTTATGCTGCTTATTGTTATCTAAAAAGGTGTTGTAATCTTCTCTAGCTGGCTAACAGAGTCAGATCTGGGACATTGACTAGGAAAACATAGCACCTTTTATAAGTCAGTTGACTGTGTGGGTGTGACGATTTATCTTACAATTTCTACCGATCTGCGTGCCAGTTATGATTTTCGTATGCACATTTTCGTGGAACAGTTTCATTTATTTAATTAGTCTTCCTATCTCAAAATCATTGTCATGTGATTAATAAAAATGATATCTAAAACGAAATGAAAATTATACAAATCTAAAAGTAACTTCTATTGCCATTGCCAACTAAAAATAGCCTACATAAAGCCAACAAATTAAAACATTGCAGCCTGCAGGTAGAAAATATCCTGATAAAAATAAATCACATTGGCTATGCATGGCCTATTTCAAGGAACTTGAAGTATTGTATCAACTATCAACTTGGTCCAGCCCAAAGCTTGTGCTAACAAACTTGCAACATTGTATAAAGTATTCTGGACCCACAGAGTTTCCCATGCCAGTGAGCTCCGGACAGACACAGCTGTAGGCTATTTGCGTAAGGGATAAGAAGTAATCAGGTAGGCCTATTTTATAATGTTTCCACCGGATCAGAGCATGGCATTTCTTTCCCCTTTCAGGTGGAGTTGTTATCGAAAGGGAGAGAGCTGTAAAGATTTTTCAAATAGGCTACCTTGAGGAACAATTGTCATTCTCAATGGATGTAAAAACAGACTTCGTTTACTTGCTATTTCGAGGAGAAGAAAAAATTGCTTTGAGAAGCTCCACAGCTCATTATTGGTGGTGAGTTAAGACAATCAGAAATACTATCAGATCCCCAAATGGGCACATTTATAAGCCTACATTTGCGCGCAGGCCAGGTAGCCTTGGTCTACTTCTATGAGTAATCAGGTGCGCGTCCTTACAAAACACAATGACTAAATTGACAAAACTCGTTAATGGAATGAAATAAACCAAAACTTGTTTCTCACAAGTGTAGCATAGGTTGTGCACTCTGCAAACAACGTGTCCACTCCGACAATGACAACTGTAAAATACTGTAATGATAATAATATATTGAATGCATTAACAGAAGCTATGGTAACCAAATAAACATTGTAGATTAAAAATTAGGGGAAATAACGGTAAATGCAGTACTGTTGAGCCACCCCCGTGGCCTCAGCAATGGATTAGTCCACTGAGACAGGCGTCAATCAAGATGTGCCATAAAAATAAATGTTTTTTGCAACTGGCTGACAAAAAAATTCCCAGTTGACCAACAGCCTATCGACCAAACAATCGACCAGTCGACTAAATGGGGTCAGCCCTAGTGTGACCTCTTACCCCATCCTCTAAGCTTCCATCACAGTATTACTGGAACACAGCTGGTGGGAACATTCAGGACTAACACACACACACAGAGTGACTGCATGCGTGATGGAGCATGTGGTTCTTCCCTGTGGTCTTTTGAGCACAGCCCTTCCACCCTGATTGCAGAATGAGGTGTTTTTTGAGACACCCATCCTGTTGACCACTGCTGGGCACGGGAGGCTGATGCTTGGGGGTCCAGAAGAGGAGGAAGGGAGGTAGGCTAAGAAGGCTAATGTGTTGTGAGCGCTTTGGTGCATACTGCAATGGCTGCTATGCATCACCTTACGAATGATCTATGGTTCATATCCTTGTCTATCTGTCTGTCTCTTCATCTGCACCTCTCTCTCTCTCTCTCTCTGATTAGTCTACCCTCTGTTCACTCATATTCACATTCATGACTGCAAGGGTTACAGACGAGGCAGCACAGGAGGTGTGTGTGTTTGACACTCCCAGGGGTGTCACACTGAGAGGTTCAGTGGGTTCCTCCCTCCTGCTGTCTGTGTCCATATCTTCCCCCTCCTTCCCTCCCTTCCTCACTTCTCCCTTTCTCACTACATCTCTCTCTTTTTTCCTTTACTATAAATCTCCCACTGGTCCCGTATGTTAACCTCCTCTGGGCTTGTGGTTTGTAATTCATGTCTGTCTGCTGTAGTTTGTCCATCTCTCTGTGTGACTGTCTAACCATGCTTGACTGCCTCTGACCATATTTGACCATGCTTGACCGCCTCTGACTGTGTGACTGACCACTGTCTCTTAGTCAGATGCCAAATATGGGTTTACAACATGCTCCTCTGTTTAGTCATCCATCCTGTTTCTCTCTCTCTGTGTGTGTGTGTGTGTGTGTGTGTGTGTCTATGTTATCTGTATCTCCACTTAAAAATCATAAAGAACGAAACAGACTTCTCCATAGCTAAGAGTTTCTGCACTGATGTGTTGCTTGGCAACCAACCAACAAATGATCTTCTCTTGTTGATAGTAAGACAGATGGACCAATAATGACACTGAGTCAGATTACCATTTAGTGACCAGCTGTGGTCACGTTCCCCATTTCCAGTTTTCCGGAGGAAAATTCCATTCCTATTCTATGTTGGGAATATTGTGTCAGGCTATATTGAGGGCAGACATGACTCAGGGGCCTTAGAATGAGGGTCCCATCATTGGGGATGAGGGGAGAGGTTATACGGACACACCTGGTGCCCAAATATATGACGTATGTCGTGCAGCGAGAGTCGAGTGGAGACGTATGGATTCCGTTTAGTCGGTTCAGTCAGTCGTCCTGATAAGCCCTTCCCAGCTAGCTAGTTTATATACGTGGCTAGAAACAATTTGGAACAAATTGGCTACTTTAGCTACCGCCGGCGACATGTGATACAGCTTCCCGGTGGGAAGCAACTCACGTTGGCAAGCACTAGCCTCTTCGCCCAACCATATTACTTCGTTCCGAGAGGCCTGTTGCCCGGAGCGAAGAGGCTAGCAAGCACCTTGATACAACATTGTTGCACTGGTCATTCGCAACAGCTTGACATCCAGATGGTGACCAATACTACAAGTTATTTCTCCATCACCCATCGAAATAAACATAACTTTCTTTTACACGATTGAACTAGCACCATGTTGCTGCTGTTGTCAGCTAGCCAGCATAAACTAGCTAGCTGGGAAGGGATCATCAGGACGACTGACTGAACCGAATCCATTCGTCTCCACTCGACTCTCAGGTGTGCAACATACATCATCAATTTGGGCACCAGGTGTGTCTGTAAAACCTCTCCTGGGGATGAGGATTTTAGGACCAGGGGATCATTTAACCCCTTATCCACCACCTTGACTCTTTCTGAGCTTCATAAATAATCTACTTATAACGACCCCTCAACATTTCCCCAATGATCTTCGACCTACTCAAAGACCTATACTCAAAGCTAACATGGTCAATAGACCACACACAGAGAGAAAACTACAGTCAACTAGAGACAAACTAACCCACTCATCTATCCAGTTAGTATTCTGATTATTGCATTATATCATGAAGCTGTAGGCGTGGATCAGAAAACCAGTCAGTATCTGGTGTGACCACCATTTGCCTTATGCAGCGCAACACATCTCCTTCGCATAGAGTTGATCAGGCTGTTGATTGCGGACTGCGGATTGTTGTCCCACTAATCTTCAATGGCTGTGCGAAGTTGGATATTGGCGGGAAATGAAACATGCTGTCGTACACGTTGATCCAGAGCATCCCAAACATGCTCAATGGGTGACATGTCTGGTGAGTATGCAAGCCATGGAAGAACTGGGAAATGTTCAGCTTCCAGGAATTGTTTACAGATCATTGTGACCTGGGGCTGTGCATTATCATGCTGAAACATGAGGTGATGGTGGCGGATGAATTGCACGACAATGGGCCTCAGGATCTCGTCACGTTATCTCTGTGCATTCAAATTGCCATCGATAAATTGCAATTGTGTTCATTGCCCGTAGCTTATTCCTGCCCATACCATAACCTCAACACCACCATGGGGCACTGTGTTCACAACGTTGACATCAGCAAACTGCTTGCCCACACAAACACCATACATGCTGTCTGCCATCTGCCTGGTACAGTTGAAACTGGGATTCATCCATGAAGAGCATACTTCTCTTAGCGTGCCAGTGGCCATCAAAGGTGAGCAGTTGCCCACTGAAGTCGGTTACGACGCTGAACTGCAGTCAGGTCAAGTCCCTGGTGAGGACGACGAGCACGCAGATGAGCTGATACATTCTCTGGCAATAGTTCTGGTGGACATTCCTGCAGTCAGCAGGCCAATTGCATTCTCCCTCAACTTGAGACATCTGTTGCATTGTGCACATTTTAGAGCAACCTTTTATTGTCCCCAGCACAAGGTGCACCTGTGTAATGTTCATGCTGTTTAATCAGCGTCTTGATATGCCACACCTGTCAGGTGGATGGATTATCTTGGAAAAGGAGAATTGCTCACTAACAGTGATGTAGACACATTTGTGCACATAATTTGAGAGAAATCAGCTTTTTGTGCGTGTGGGACATTTCCGGGATTTTTTATTTCAGCTCATGAAACATGGGACCAACACTTTACATGTTGCGTATATATTTTTGTTCAGTGTAGTTTAAAGAGCCATAATAGCTACGGTGGGGTCTAATATGTACTGTGAAGTGCGATCGTTCTCTCTGCTCCTGGACTCAATCCATTCCTCTCCTTTTCAAACCCTTTTGTTCCTCCTCTTTCATCATCTCCTCTCTCATGAGACACATTCCTTATTTTCTGTAATTATTAATTAATTAATGAATTACAGAATTATATTTCTATTGGGGATGTTAATACATTACATCAAGGCATTTCTTTCCACCCCTAATTATAACATAACGTGTGTGTAGACACACACATACACACACTTTCAGTCTCTACCAAACTGATGGTTGTTCCCATGCCATGAGGGTGTGTTTTATGTTCATGTTAGTAATTATAGGCCCACAGCTAAATGAATAAGGAGGAGAAAAGAGCAGCCAATCATATCAACTGCTCTGATTGGGTTCAGCTAGCCTTTCCCTGTGGACGCGCACACACACACACACACACACACACACACACACACACACACACACACACACACACACACACACACACACACACACACATACACACACAAACAAACACGCTACATAAATCCAATTATTAACAGACTTGCGTCCCTCACCTATGCACCAACACACACGCATTACCCTCCGACACACATTTGACAGGCGCTTATCAGGCTTTTGTTTAATAAAGTTGCACTAACATGCCTAAACATCTGTCTTCTGTGCTCCTGCTCTAATTCTGCTGTTCATCTGAATCCTAATTAAGCTTCAGCACTTCAGCTCTGAGCATGAGAGATATAACACACACATTTAAATACACACACAGACAAGACACTCACAGGAGATATGAAAAGTCTGCGGGAGCTCTGTCTGCCGCTAGACATAATCAAACCTACAGAGGGATCACTCTGTGCGTGTGTGTGTGTGTGTGTGTGTGTGTGTGTGCATGCATACATACATGTGCACGTACATGTACACATCAGTGACTGTGTGTGCTCATGCACGTTAGTGTGTGTGTGTATGTGAGTTACAGTGGCAAGTGAATTGATGCTCTCTGTGTGTAAGTAAGATTAGCAGCAGATTAATCCTCCAGTATCCCATAATCCCTTGCTGATAGATGGCTGCAGATGTTGTGTGATTACAGACCTGCTGAGCTTGTGCAGAACGGACTACTATTTATAGTGAGGCCGTAGTATGTAATCAAACTCACAGTGAATATAGTGCTTCTCAATATACACTCCAGCCACTCCTTCAATGACGGTTTTACATGACATATTTATGCCAATTTTTGATCTGATTTAGTATATTTTTATTCTGGCCTCACTGTTGTGTGTTGCTGTATTTTCTGCTTGGTTTGTGATACTGTTGTATCTTTGAGCTGAAAGCAAAGGGAGAGTCACTAGAGAATCTGCCCAACAGTAGTTCACAGAGGAGAGTGGAAACACCAAATGCCCTTTTTAACCCTTTGAGGTGGATGGAGTGCATGCGTTGGACTTGGTAGAACATTTTCACTGATTCACAAAGAGTGGCTGAATTAATAGGCCTGTAAAATTCCAGAATAACGTCCACAAAAACGCTCACCGTAAATGGTTTATATCACTTAATTGAGCAGCAACATTTGGTTCGGTAGATCGAGGAGGAGGAAGAGGAGGAGGAGGAGGGATATTAGTTCTCCTGGTGAATGAGAGCTGGGGCTGATGGAATATGAAAGGTGGTGTGTGTCACGCTCAGAGTGTGTGTGTTTGCATGTTTGTGGAACACACAGACGCTCTCACAAACTCTGGGTACAGGCTGGAGACGGCCTGGCCACACTGGTATTTAAATTGGCACCCTTACCACTCTGTGCATTAACAAGAGAGAGGGAGGGATGGAGAGAAAGAGAAAGATAGAGAGAGAGAGAGAGAGAGAGAGAGAGAGAGAGAGAGAGAGAGAGAGAGAGAGAGAGAGAGAGAGAGACAGAGATCAGTGTATTAACACACACCAGACTTAGACAGGATTAGTATCAGATTAAATAGAGCGTGTTTGTGTGTGTACCTGGAGGCACTGAAGCAAAACCGATAGATCAGGTGTGTGTGGTGGTATGTAAGCTACTTGTGTATGTGGGAAATAGGATGAACTGTTTGGAGATTTAAATGCTCAGCGAGAGTAGCTTTGCTCTCTCTCTCTCTCTCTCTCTCTCTCTCTCTCTCTCTCTCTCTCTCTCTCTCTCTCTCTCTCTCTCTGTCTGGCTGGCTGGCTGTCTCTGTCTCTGTCTCTCAATGCTCTCCTCCATTCCCCAGGTCACAGACATGGCTGTGATTTGTGTCCACAACACGCAGCACAAACAGGAAACGATGCACTGGTTTAGATACAAAGATACAGGAAGTGGGTTTGTCTGCGGTTGGCTTACTCCCCCCCCCCACTCTGCAGACGCTGTTGATCATCTTTGTACTGATTTCCTACAGTAACGTCTTTGTCCTACAGTCATATGGCATTACATATCCAGTCCTTTTAGATCAGTGAGGATGATGAAACATAGAACAGAGAAAAGTAAGGCTCTCAAATGTTGTTCACCCACACCCACTCTTCGGTTCATGTAGTTATTCAGTGGGCTCTTTCATCTAGTAATTTGAGAGGAATTGTCTGGCTGCTTTTTTGTGTGGGCTGTTGGTTGTGTGTATAGGGACCTGGCCTTGTAATTTAGCTGTGGCAGTGCCCTTGCCCCCTACAGAATATAGCTTTATGGTAATTTATTCTATGTGAATGCTGTTGTAGTTAACATTATTAGGCCCACTCTCTTATTGGTTGTTGTTGCTGTTGTTCCAGTGTGATTGGTCATTGTTAACGGTCCTCTCTCTGTCCTCTCTAACAGTCATGCGGAGGAACCCATTTACAGCGGACGTGTGCTGTAGGAAAGGCTCCCGCAACGCACTACAGGAACTCTACAACCCCACACAGGTAGGAACCTGTGTCTCACTCTCTTTATCTCTCTCTGTATCTTTCTCCCCCCCCCCCTCTCTCTCTCTGTAAATATAGACCCCGCTGTTTTAGGCCTGACTCAGAGAGACATTTGAAAGGTCGTGACCCTGGCTGTTTTTAGCCTTGTCCTCCCTTTCCCTTCAAACGGTGTGTGTGTAAGTGTGTGTGTGTGTATGTCACTAAGCCTGGGTCCATGCTCCTCTGTCTTTGTTTATTTATTACGTCTGTATGACGACGTCCTTTACATGATGGACGAGCACCATGGAAACCTACATTCCATTGCCGTGGCTTTATTTAGCGTAACGGTCGATTGCATAGTTAGTATTACATATTTCACTTCACGTAACTCCTTTTCAGAGCACTGCATTCTCCCTTCAAGTACAGTAAGCTCTGCTTACATTGCTGCAACTTACTGTAACCACAAAACATATGGTGAAGTAAAATATATATTGTGGGGGAGGGGAGTGAATGGTGTGGCTAAGGTGTTTTGAGCCGAGTTCGTTGAAGAGACCTTGCTGCGTTTGCTTGTTAGGCTACTGTGGTTCTTTCTGTATTTTTGCAGCTGCAGAAATGGCTGTGTATCCAATAGCACTGTGATAATAGAGTTGGATTCTCACGGGTGGTTGTCATCATCAGTCTATCACTCATACTGCAGTCTCTCAGTAATGTCAGCACACTGCTGTTGGTGATACTATGACAATGATGGACAGGCTAGTTTCTCCTTCACTCCTCTGCAATAATTATCTGTCGTTTACTCTTTTTATTTTATTTTTCTGTGTCTATACACTGAGTATACCAAACATTAGGAACACCTTCCTAATATTGAGTTGCCCACAGAACAGCCTCAATTCGTCGGGGCATGGACTCTCTGGAGGAGGTTACAAACTAGCGTAATCTAGCCTGCATAATACTGTTTGCCTTGTTTCTTTGGGGCATGGACTCTACAAGTTGTCGAATGCGTTCCACAGGGAAGCTGGCCCATGTTGACTCCAATGCTTCCCACAGTTGTGTCAAGTTGGCTGGATGTCCTTTGGGTGGTGGACCATTCTTGGTACACACGGGAAACTGTTGCGCGTGAATAACCCAGCAGCGTTGCAGTTCTTGACACAAACCGGTGCGTCTGGCCCCTACTACCATACCCTGTTCAAAGGCACTTACATTTCTTGTCTTGCCCATTCTCCCTCTGAATGGCACACATACACAATCCATGTCTGAATTGTCTCAAGGCTTGAAAATCCTTCTTTAACCTGTCTCCTCCCCTTCATCTACACTGATTGAAGGGGATTTAACAAGTGACATCAATAAGGGATCATAGCTTTCATCTGGATTCACCTGGTCAGTCTATGTCATGGAAAGAGCAGGTGTTCTTAATGCTTTGTACACTCAGTGTATATCTGTCATGCACTCTCTCTCTCTCTCATAAACTCCTCTCTCTCTCTCTCTGCAAACTATTCATCACAGCACACATTTTAAAATTATACAAGAAGCCATCAAACTGGTGTTTAACAGCTAAGATTAGACTGGGTGCACGTGGACATATATCATTTTCCGCCAGGGAGTTTTCCACACCTCCTCACTCATGTAAAGTCCCATTGATATGATATGTGTGAGGGCAGAGGGCAGAGAGGGGTACTGTAGCTAGTGTAAGCCCCAGTGGGGTGTCGGGGGTAGCGGTTTGGAAGAGGAGCGGGGAGTTGTGGGGTTGAGGGAGGGAGTGGGGGGTCAGAATGACGTAAGAGGTACTCTGGTAATATGTGTGCCCTGCCACCCACTGCCCAATCCTAGAGCGCTTGGTTGGTCATGTGACCGCCGATGAGGTAGGAGTGGGTAACAAGGTGCCATTGAGGGTTGGAATGTCTGACTGTGGAGCTCTCTCTCTCTCTCTGTCTGTATCTGTATCTAGGAGGAGATCCAGCACACACACACAGAGAGAGAGCGAGAGAGAGAGAGAGAGAGAGAGAGAGATGGATAGAATCCGAGCTGTGTGAATATGTTTGTGTGTGTTGTCAGAATGTATGTCAATTGTAAAGTATTTTTCGTTATGTGTCAGACCCCAGGGAGATTAGCTGTCACCATTGACGTGGGCTAATGGGGATCCTAATAAAATCAGAGTGTTACAGTGTCCATCTCTGCTGCGGCTGCAAATCACCAGTTATTTGAAATATTTCATTTTTTAGTCATTTAGCAGACGCTCTTATCCAGAACAACTTACAGTTTTCTTTCATACTGGCCCCCCGTGGGAATCGAACCCACGACCCTGGCGTTGCAAGCGCCATGCTCTACCAACTGAGCTACACGGGGCCATTTGACTGATCAGGTGTGCTCCATTGCATTCAGGCCAGGAGAAACAGGCCTTCATTCCCATATGGGTTAATATTTTCTCCTCCTGTATGGTAATACCTTCTTCCCAGTCTGATGAGTACTGCAAGAGTCTATACACTCACAATACTGTCATTACCAACCTACCAGTTAAATACTGATGCAGAGATATGGCTGGGATGTGGGGAAGGGAACTGTATGCATGCAGATATCAGTTGCACAGCCCCCTGGCTGGGATATGACTGGGATGAATGTGAGCCGTAATGTGGTGTCAGTGGAGCGGAGGTGAATGATAACACGTGTGCATGTATGTGTAGACAGCAGTTAAAACCTGTCTGGGTAGTAGCAGAGGAACAGAGAGAGTTGTGTGCATTAACCCTTTAGGCAGTACTAGGAGCATATATCCTTCTTTGTTGAATATTCTAACTGTGTGTGTGTGATTCTGTGCGTGTGTGTGATTCTGTGCGTGTGTGTGATTCTGTGTGGTGTGTGTGCGTGTGTGTGCCTCTGTGCGTGATTATGTGTGTGTGATTCTGTGTGTGTGTGCCTCTGCCTGTGTGAGTGATTCTGTGTGTGCATGGGATTCTGTGTGTGTGTGTGTGTGTGTGTGTGCCTCTGCCTGTGTTTGTGCCTCTGCATGTGTGTGTGTGTGTGTGTGTGATTCTGTGTGTGTGTGTGTGTGTGTGTGTGTGTGATTCTGTGTGTGTGTGTGTGTGTGTGTGTGTTCCTCTGCCTGTGTGTGTGGTTTTGTGTGTGGGCCTGCCTGTTACTGGTTTACCCCTCTTTCCCTGCTCTGGTTGGATTCTCAAACCTCCTTTGGCTGGTTTTGGTTGGATGATTGGACGCTGGGCTAAACATGTTGATGACTGAAGAGGCATGTACAGTTCAGCATGGAACAGAAAGAGAGAGGAGAGAAGAGAGAGAGAGAGATTTGGAGACTGCAGTTTGCATGATGTCGTGGCAGAAGTCGTCTAGCCCTCTGTTTTCCTCAATGAGAGATTGGCCTGTCAGCATAGATGTCCCCCAGCTCCTCTCATCCCTCTCTCTCTCTGTGTGTCTCAGCTGTTGAATCACAGCAACGTTGCATCAGACAAATATGATACCAACCAACTGTCTTTCTCATACCAGTGGTGTGTGTGCTTGCGTGTATGTGTGTTCTCACGGTGGTTGGTGAAAGCAGACAGTTTACAGCCCTCCTCCCTGGCAGTAGCTCTATCGTCTGTGAGGGCGAGACTCAACAGGCACACAGGGGAAAGTCTCTCACCTGAACACAACTAACTACCACCGCCACACCCCAACCTAGCCTAGCCTGGAGCAGATGACCTGTCTCACACACATACAAACACATACTCACTGGCTCAACATTATAGCACTGTTTTGTATACTCGTACAGTACCTTTGTACAGTGTAAGCCTCAGTATGGTAAACACAGACTTAGGTCTCTATTTTGTTCTGTAATGCACTTTAATGCTAGTAACTCATCATGGTTTCTCTACGTCATTCACCAATTCCACCCATATACAGTATGTATGCTTTTCCAACTGGAGCAAAGTTTAGCCAATAGAAAGAGACCTGTACATATGTGTTATGTGTGTGTGTCTGAGTCTGTGTGTGTGTGTGTGTGTGTGTGTGTGTGTGTGTGTGTGTGTGTGTGTGTGTGTGTGTGTGTGTGTCAGGAGAAGTTGATAGCTCAGGGAAAGTGGGAGCAGTTAGTATTGCTATAATTAGGACTTCCTCTTTCCCTGCCTCTGTGTGCGTCTTACATACATGCACACACACACTCCGGTACGCTGCATCAGTATAGCGTTGTGTAAACTCACATAGTCTCTGGTGGTGTGTTAAGTGCAGGTATGTAGTGTTAGACTTCACCAGAGCTGTAGATACTATACACCGGTCATGTCTCTGGTCCTCTGGTAAACTGGGAGCAGTGGAAAAACACTGGGTTTATTTTCACAGGAGCCCCCTCTCACTTTCTCACTCTCTCTCTTTCTTTCTCTCAGTCGGTCTCTCTCTTTCCTTTTCTTTCTCTTGCTCTTTTTCTCTTTATTCCCCCCCCCTTTTATCTGGTTATCTTACACCTGAGAACCTGTCTCTATTCTCTGGTGACAGGTATTTAGTTTCAGTGGGGCAGGGAGAGATGGGGTAGTGGAGGTATTAGAGATCCCACACTCCTCGTATCTAAATCGGCCATCTCAGGGTGTGGTGTCAGTGTCGCCTCACTTAGTCCTTTTGTGTGTGTTGGCTGGTCAGAGTCAGTGGAAACTTTCTGTGTTGTGCTGCTGGCATAGACATTGCTCCCTTTCAACAGTTCTCTCCTCTCCTCTCCTCTCCTCTCCTCTCCTCTCCTCTCCTCTCCTCTCCTCTCCTCTCCTCTCCTCTCCTCTCCTCTCCTCTCCTCTCCTCTCCTCTCCTCTCCTCTCCTCTCCTCTCCTCTCCTCTCCTCTCCCTCTCCCTCTCCCTCTCCCTCTCCCTCTCCCTCTCCCTCTCCCTCTCCCTCTCCCTCTCCCTCTCTCTCCCGCTCCCTCTCCTCACATCTCATCTCATCTCATCTCATCTCCTCTCATCTCCTCTCCTCACCTTCCCCCTCCATCTCCTCTCTTCTTCCCTCTCTCCTCTCCATCTTTTTGTCTCTGCCCTCTCATGGGATTTCACTGACCTGAAGCCTTGTCACCCTGTTTCTCTGTAAAAGGGTTTCAGGCAGCTCTCTGTCTGGTCTTGCTCCTCATAAATGGCATCATGGAAAACTCACACCGCCTGATCTGCCCTCTGTGGAAAATATGATTTTACCCCATAAAACAGTAACCTTGTCAGGGTTTATAGTGTGTGTGGCCACAGAGCAGTGTTCATGTCAGGTGGTTCTGTTAAGTGAATTATTTAACAAACTATTTTAGTGTCTCTGTGCGTCTCCCAAAAGGTTGTAAGTCTTTTGGGATTTAAGTAACGGCCAGAGTCCCGGTCTGCATGGTCAGAGATATTTATTCATTGAGAATTCTGCCATCACAATTTCAGAGTCCATCTTTTATACTCATACGTCATACAAAAAGAAATCCCTTCCCTCTGTAGGCGGGCTGTAGTTTTCCACTCTAAAACTGCTCTACTGACCTTCAGTTCACACACACACACATATACACACATACATACACACATACACACACACACACACACACACACACACATATCCTACTCCCTGCATTACTCAGTTATTGCAGTTCTCACAATATTCTGCACCATGTTTTCATAACAGTTTCTCCCCTCCCTAAATTGGGAGGCCTCTTTATCTTAGTTTCTCAGTTGTCTTTGTTGACTGGCCTGACTCTTACTCACATTGCTAAATAGTGGCTCAATGCCATAGCCTTTACTGGTCCTACACTCACACATTATACACAGTTTCAGGGTGTAATAATTAGTCATTAATAATTAATCTATCAGGTTCCTGCTTCTATCATTCAGAGAGAGGGAAGAGAGGAGGGGGAGTTACAGGTGAGTTTAGTATGAGAAAGAGAGGTTAACTCTTCCTACAGAATGTATTGTGTTCTCTCCTGGCAGTCTGATGATGGGAGCTGGTGCTGTGGTGCGGGTGTGTATGTTAGTGTGTTTTTGATTGGTGCCTGCGTGGCCTGTGAATGCCAGGCTGTGGGAGTGGAGAGGAGTAGTGGGGGTCAGAGACAGACTGCCCTCAGTCCTCTACACTGTGTGTGTGTGTGTGTGTGTGTGTGTGTGTGTGTGTGTGTGTGTGTGTGTGTGTGTGTGTGTGTGTGTTGACTGCAGTGATTCAAACATTGTGATTCTAGGAATAGTAATGTGAAAGCTGTATTGACTTTAGTCCTGGTTTATTCAATACTGTTTTAATCAGTATGACAATAAAAAATGATCAGTTCCAAAGTTCAGCCATGTAAAGGGTTAACTGTTCCAGGAAGAGAAGCACACAGCAGTATCTGGTGGGGAGGAGAAGTATTAACATCACTTTGCTGAAGTGAAACTAAAGTAGAGAGACCTACAGTATATTGTGTACGGGACCAAACTCTACAGCACTGAAATCCCTATTAAATAGCTATACATTCAGACTATACACTGACTCTCCTACCCTTTGACACCACAAACAGAAAGGACAGCGATATCATCCACAAAAACATACAGGTGAGTAGAAAGATTGATATGGAAAGTTAAGTTGAAGATAAGCTCTACTGTGTATTTCCTTATTTATTTATCCAGATTCTACGGTATGTTACACTTTTCATTCTATGGTTATCTGACTTTTATCTATATTGTATCATCATGTATCAAGATTCGTTAATATCATCAGATAAGACAATGTTGACAACTCTAAAGCTGAATTTATCAAGAGCTGGCTGATTCCAAGAAATGCTTTATGGTTTCACCTCTGGTCTCTGTCTAGATATGTCCACCTCCAGCAGTCTTCTGTCTGAAGAGCAGTTCCTGTGCTCCATCTCTCTGGATGTGTTCACTGAGCCAGTCTCTATTCCATGTGGACACAACTTCTGCAAGGCCTGTATCAGTGGATACTGGGATAGCAATGTGTAAAAAAAAACATTAGATAAGAGACCAGATCTGTTTGTCAATACTTTCATTTCTGAGATGGTTGCTCAGTTCAGGCAGACAGTTGAAGTGAAAGCTACCAGCAGCCCAGAACAATGTCCTGCTCAACCCCTAGACATCCCCTGTGACTTCTGCACTGGGACGAAGCTCAAGGCCCTGAAGTCCTGTCTGGTGTGTCAGACCTCTTACTGTGAGACTCACCTGGAGCCTCATCAGAGAGTTGCAGCCTTAAAGAGACACAAGCTGATCAACCCTGTGGAAAACCTGGAAGACAGGATGTGTAAGAAGCATGACAGACTCCTGGAGCTGTTCTGTAGGAGGGACCAGATGTGTGTGTGTCAGTTCTGCACTGAGACAGACCACATGACTCATGACACTGTCCCTCTAAAGGAAGAGTATGGAGAGAGGAAGGCTCAGTAGATCTCAGCAAGAAAGATGCAAAAAGAGAGATATCAGACAGTGTGCAGGTCTTCACTGCTCTGGTGCGCTCCATTGAGAGAAGCCAGGCTGAGCTCATTGAGGTGATTGAGGAGAAGCAGAAAGCAGCAGAGAGGCAGGCTGAAGGGCTCATTAAAGAGCTGGAGCAGGAAATCACTGAGCTAAAGAGGAGAAGCACTGAGCTGGAGCAGCTCTCACTCAGTGAGGACCACCTCCACCTCCTACAGAGCTTTCCATCCCTGGGCACCCCTCCACCCACCAAGGACTGGTCTAGGATCAGTGTTCACAGTGATCTGTGTGTGGGGACTGTGAGGAGAGCTGTGTCTCAAGTGGAGGAGACCATTATGAGTGAAGTTATGAAGTTGTGTGATGCTGAGCTGAAGAGGAATCAGCAGTATGCAGTGGATGTTGCTCTGGATCCTGATACAGCACATCCCTACCTCATCCTGTCTGAGGATAGAAAACAAGTGGAACATGGAGACAAACCACAGGATCTCCCTGACAACCCAAAGAGGTTTATTACATGTCCCTGTGTATTAGGACATGAGGGCTTCTCTGCAGGGAGATGTTACTATAAGGTGACAGTTAAGGGGAAGACTACGTGGGATTTAGGAGTGGCCAGAGAGTCCATCAACAGGAAGGGGAAGATCAAACTGAACCCTAAAAATGGATACTGGACTCTGTGGCTGAGGAATGGAAATGAGTACAAGGCTAACTCTAGCCCCACTGTCACCCTCTCCCTGAGAGAGAAGCCCCAGAAGATGGGGGTGTTTGTGGATTATGAGGAGGGTCAGGTCTCCTTTTATGATGTGGAGGCCAGGTCTCATATCTACTCTTTCACTGGCTGCACCTTCACTGAGAAACTCTATCCATACTTTTTCCCTGGCAGTAATGATGGTGGTAAAAACTCTGTCCCTCTGATCATCTCTCCTGTCAATCACACAGAATGACTTTTAACCTGAAAATCTACTAAAATGTGTACATTTAATCTGTTGTCCTACATCAGAGAGAATATTTCACTGTAATATTATTACTGACGTGGTTGTTGTTTGTTGTCATCAGCCTCATGTCAGTCTGTTAGACATGATGAGTATCCTACAGAATGCAGCAGCATTGTAAGATATGAACATATCTCTCCAGGCTCATAACAAGGTATGATTCATATCTGGGAGTTACATTTCTGAGGAAGTTCTGATCATGAGATAATATAAGCATTTTTAGCTCATGAATTGTTTGCAGTGTATATCTCTGTTGATCCTACCTATAATGAACTGGGATGGGCATAGAGTAAAATTCATGATATTTAGAAAATAAAATCCAGTTGAATATTGACCTCTTACGTAATATTTCTACTAGGGATGCTGTCCCAGATGTTTACAATAGTGATGGATATGACATCAGTTTGGAATAGTGGAGATATACTGAGGTGTCTGAGGTTGATGTCATATGGAAATTGTATTTTTATTTTGTGGTTTTGCTGTCTCATCACTAGGGCTGTGGCAGTCACGAAATTTCGTCAGCCGGTGATTGTCAAGCAAATAACTGTCGGTCTCATGGTAACTGACCGTTAATTAACATAAACACATTTAGCATCTCCTGGCTTCCACACATAGCCTACAAGCCACTGATGCTGACCTTTGGAACATCTACATTTGAAAAAGTCTAATAAATCCATATAATATAGCCTACACCTTCACAATAAATCCATTATTTATTTTAGACAGGTCTAAGGAAGCATGATATGAAGACAATGTAGTCTATTTCAGAAGAACAGAATAGCATACTCTGAGTTATCATTATGTTAGGTCCTGATCTGGCTATGCCAAATGGCTGTGGGCTACACTAGTTCATTTAGCAGACAAGATTTGCTTAGAATTTCGTGGCATTATTTTATATTATTTTATAGTATGAAGAATACAATTGAACAAAGCTGAATAACGATTTAAGGGGCTGCGCACATGCGGCTACTCTGTGTTGAGCGGTTAACAAAGAAATAAGTACTCCTATATTCTTAATTTAGAGTTATTAATGTAACTTTAGTTGTTCTACAAATGTTGGGCTATATGTTTTGATTTTTAATACATTGTAAGGCTGCATGATGCAACTCTAATGATGATTTGAAAAATGTTGCTTGAAAGGCATGAGCTCTGCTTTGTTTTTTTGCGCAGGCTGTACACACTTCGTCAGTCTCTCATTCACAATTTGAGAAGCTCTTGATAATGCTTCGAATTTCCTGGTGGCATCCCCTTTGTGTGGCCATAATGCACCCTAAATAAATCGATGCATTTTGCAGCCATTCTCACTTAATTCTGCCCGCTCCGAAGCACCTCTCATCTCACTCACACTTCTCACAGGCTACAAGTGAAGACAGACACATCGGGGACGCAACTGAGCGCGTCCTTATCCAATTCCAAGGTGCATATTGAAGATATTGGAAGAACTATCCACATTTAGTTTTCGTCAGCCAACAAGATAAGTAGGCCTAACGAACAGCAAAAGCTTTAGCCTATGTCAGTCTACTATCCCCATAGTACAAAAGTTGACCTATTCTGTGCGAGAAATAAAATATTCCAAACATAGTCTGGGACAGTTGTGGGATGCGATAGATCCTAAATTAATACAACCACTAGCATCAAAAACACTTTTTCACACAATGAGGCTGACGCAACAGATCAGAAAGTTTAGCTTAAAATGTTGATAAACTATTAGGCTATTCCTTCACAATATAAGCGCAGCAATGCGCACATGGCAGTAGGCTTTAAGCACGAATGTTCAATTTTAGCGGGAAAACACCAGTATCAAAAGTGACCACAAATGCGATTATGCATGTAATGCTTTTATTATAAAGATGCATTTTTATGGTCAAAATTATCTTCCCCAAACTTGAAACTCACGCGCTGCTTATGTATGCCAGTTAGGCTCTACACCCCCTTGTAAAGTGGATTCATGTGCTTAATTTTAAGAAGTTATTTGGCCCCTATTCATGATACAAACCTTATTAAAACAAATAGGCCTATGGGCTAGGCTACATGAGGTGTGCGACTTTGATTCGTAAAAGTCGCAAGAAAAAGGCATTGTTTCTTATGCTGGGCATCATTCACAAGTGATAGGCTAATATTGTCACCCATTAGACTTTTCTTGATTTAATCTTGTCTTTACATATACTAAATAATTATGTGTGACATTTGTTTTGATTTAGAATGGACCATTATCATGCACCTGTATCGAAACAGGGGCAGTGGGAAAAAATACTTAAATAGCGAATGGATGACGCTTTTCCCCGTGGTTTATTTTCATGCCAGCCAGGTAGGCTATACTCCTGTTGTAAATATAAGCAATGTGCTTAATATTAGGAAAGTTGAAAAATAAATATAGAAAGCTGATCCTCCTCTTTTCAGTAGAGGCCATCACTCAGTTTTCTCGCGCAATGGCATAGCCTATTTAAATGTTGTGCAACATGAGCTCATGGGCTCTCATGAAGTGTTTGATTAGATTTTTTATTACATTTGCATTGATGTCAGAGTGATTAGAGGGACAATAGAGTGCTGAGTACCAGGCAGTTAGCAAGTTTGATAGGCTACTAATGACCAGCAGCAGCATCAGAGCTTGACTAAATGGTCACGTGGAATTTGACTGCCTTCATAACTTGTGACCACCGGTGTGTCGGTAATACGGTCACCGCAACAGCCCTACTCATTTTACATTTTAGTCATTTAGCAGATGCTCTTATCCAGAGTGACTTACAGTTAGTGCATACATTTTTTCATACTGGTCCCGTACACAATATACTGTACTGTAGAATAATAACAATAATAATAAACATCATACAAAATACAAAAATAAAATCAATCCAAAAAAGCCCCACTCCTTCAGTGATAATCCAGGGGCCTGTGTGGACGGAACATTCATCGACATGATTCCTTGAAATGCCTCCGCTGTAAAATCCCTGAGTCCCAAAAGACTTTTAGCCGCACTCACAACAATGCCTATTTTCTCAGCTTTCTTCTTTGTTTGCGCTGTGCAGTTTATAACCAATGCAATAAATGATACAAAGTCCACCTTTTTAACATGCTACATGTCAGGATCCTTTTGGCGAGTAACATTTACTGATGTCTCTAATCCAACTACCATGGTTTCTTCAACATTACTCCCTTCTTCCACTCTTCTCACCGCCTCTGGATAGGAGACCTCAGTCTCCTTCACCCTAACAGGGCACTTCATGAATTTGGGTGCATGCTCGCCACCACAATTGCAACATTTCACATCATCTGGCATACAATATTCCTCCCCGTCTACATACACTTGACACAAGTCCAAATACTTTACATTTATCACAATGCAAGGGTTTGGGCACGAAGGCTCTTACAGGTTATCTCACATAACTCAAATATACATACAAAGGGAGACACTCTTCTTCAAAGAACAAAATAATCCACCATACGGGTCAGTCGGCGTGCACCAACCACTGGGCTTCCTCACTCCATCCACCATACGGGTCAGTCGGCATGCACCAACCACTTCATCCACCATACGGGTCAGTCGGCGTGCACCAACCACTCCATCCACCATACGGGTCAGTCAGCGAGCACCAACCACTGCCTCTACATCCTTTGCTCTCACTTCTAGCGCCACTCCAGAGATAACACCCTTGATAGGCACCCTGCTTCACAGATCCACACACAACACATTCCAATTCGATATATTTTTCAGGTGCAAAGCACACACCTTCTGCTCCTCGGACACACAAAACCCCCAAATAAACCCTTTTCTTTTTATTTTCACTTCAAACAGATCTCCCAGGTATCTCGATCAAATAATTTGTATTAAATAAAAAGGGAATAAAATGGGTAAAAGATAAGAGAACAGTCAGAACTAGGCCTCATTACCACAATTATCAAATATCATTTTTCACTCTTTACAAATAGTCACCTGTTATGGCACCTTGTCTGTCTGCCTGTCTGCACATTGATTGTGAATAGAGTAAGATAGTTGATAAATGTAAAGTATTTGGACTTGTGTCAAGTGTATGTAGACGGGGAGGAATATCGTATGCCAGTTGATGTGAAATGTTGCAATTGTGGTGGCGAGCATGCACCCGAATTCATGAATACTGTTTTAATCAGTATGACAATTAAAAATGATCTGTTCCAAAGTTCAGCCATGTAAAGGGTTAACTGTTCCAGGAAGAGAAGCACACAGCAGTATCTGGTGGGGAGGAGCATTATTAACGTCACTTTGCTGAAGTGAAACTAAAGTAGAGAGACCTACAGTATATTGTGTACGGGACCAAACTCTACAGCACTGACATCCCTATTAAATAGCTATACATTCAGACTATACACTGATTCCCCTACCCTTTGACACCACAAACAGAAAGGACAGAGATATCATCCACAAAAACATACAGGTGAGTAGAAAGATTGATATGGAAAGTTAAGTTGAAGATAAGCTCTACTGTGTATTTCCTTATTTATTTATCCAGATTCTACGGTATGTTACACTTTTCATTCTATGGTTATAGGTATTTTATCTATGTTGTAACATCATGTATCAAGATGTGTTAATATAATCACATAAGACAATGTTGACAACTCTAAAGCTGAATCTATCAGGAGCTGACTGATTCCAAGAAATGCTTTATGGTTTCACCTTTGGTCTCTGTCTAGATATGGCTACCTCCAGCAGTCTCCTGTCTGAAGAGCAGTTCCTGTGTTCTATCTGTCTGGATGTGTTCACTGAGCCAGTCTCTATTCCATGTGGACACAACTTCTGCAAGGCCTGTATCAGTGGATACTGGGATACCAGTGACCTGTTCCAGTGTCCAATGTGTAAAAAAACATTAGATAAGAGACCAGATCTGTTTGTCAATACTTTCATTTCTGAGATGGTTGCTCAGTTCAGGCAGACAGTTGAAGTGAAAGCTACCAGCAGCCCAGAACAATGTCCTGCTCAACCCCTAGACATCCCCTGTGACTTCTGCACTGGGACGAAGCTCAAGGCCCTGAAGTCCTGTCTGGTGTGTCAGACCTCTTACTGTGAGACTCACCTGGAGCCTCATCAGAGAGTTGCAGCCTTAAAGAGACACAAGCTGATCAACCCTGTGGAGAACCTGGAAGACAGGATGTGTAAGAAGCATGACAGACCTCTAGAGCTGTTCTGTAGGAGTGACCAGACTTGTGTTTGTGTCTTGTGCTTGAAAGCAGACCACATGACTCATGACACTGTCCCTCTAGAGGAAGGGTATGGAGAGAAGAGGGCTAAACTGGGGAAGACTGAGGCAGAAGTTCAGCAGATGATCCAGGAGAGACTGCAGAAGGTGAAGGAGATCAAAGACTCAGTAGATCTCAGCAAGAAAGATGCAGAAAGAGAGATATCAGACAGTGTGCAGGTCTTCACTGATCTGGTGCGCTCCATTGAGAGAAGCCAGGCTGAGCTCATTGAGGTGATTGAGGAGAAGCAGAAAGCAGCAGAGAGGCAGGCTGAAGGGCTCATTAAAGAGCTGGAGCAGGAAATCACTGAGCTAAAGAGGAGAAGCACTGAGCTGGAGCAGCTCTCACACATTGAGGACCATCTCCACCTTCTCCAGAGCTTCCCATCCCTCTGCACCCCTCCACACATCAAGGACTGGTCTAAGATCAGTGTTCAACGTGATCTGTGTATGGGGCCAGTGAGGAGAGCTGTTTCTCAGCTGGAGGAGACACTGAATAAAGAGATGGAGAAGCTGCCTGAAGTCAAACTGAAGAGGATTCAGCAGTATGCAGTGGATGTGACTCTGGACCCTGATACAGCACATCCCTGCCTCATCCTGTCTGAGGATAGAAAACAAGTGAATCATGGAGACAAACCACAGAATCTCCCTGACAACCCAAAGAGGTTTGATCGTGGTGGGAATGTCCTTGGAAATGAGGGCTTCTCTGCAGGGAGATTTTACTATGAGGTAACAGTTAAGGGGAAGACTAAATGGGATTTAGGAGTGGCCAGAGAGTCCATCAACAGGAAGGGGAATATCACACTGAGACCTGAGGATGGATACTGGACTTTGTGGCTGAGGAATGGAAATGAGTACAAGGCTCTCACCAGCACTGGTGTCCAACTCTCCCTGAGAAGGAAGCTCCAGAAGGTGGGGGTATTTGTGGATTATGAGGAGGGTCAGGTCTCTTTTTATGATGTGGAGGCCAGTTCTCATATCTACTCTTTCACTGGCTGCACCTTCACAGAGAAACTCTATGCATTCTTCTGTCCCTCTAATAATGATGGTGGTAAAAACTCTGCTCCTCTGATCATCTCTCCTGTCAATCACACTGACTGATTTTTAATCCGAAAATCTAACTGGCCAGTAAAATTAATACATTTAGAATAGTCATAATCTGTTGTCATAGATCACAAAGAATATTTTAGACGCACAAATATCATAGAAACATATTCTATTCTTATTTATTTATGTGACTCCAAAATGACACAATACATTATTTACCATTAATTTCTATTGGGCACAAAATAATCTGAAACGCAACCAAAATAAACAGTAAATGCATCCAACAAATGTGTGAGTCACAATCTTGATGTAGTCATTGCGTGCTATGGATATGGGACAAAATAGTTAACTTTTTACTACTTTAATACACATATACAGTTGAAGTCGGAAGTTTACATACACTTAGGTTGGAGTCATTAAAACAAGTTTTTCAACCACTCCACAAATTTCTTGTTAACAAACTATAGTTTTGGCAAGTAATTTTTCCAACAATTGTTTACAGACAGATTATTTCACTTATAATTCACTGTATCACAATTCCAGTGGGTCAGAGGTTTACATACACTAAGTTGACTGTGCCTTTAAACAGCTTGGAAAATTCCAGAAAATTATGTCATGGCTTTAGAAGCTTCTGATAGGCTAATTGACATCATTTGAGTCAATTGGAGGTGTACCTGTGGATGTATTTCAAGGCCTACCTTCAAACTCAGTGCCTCTTTGCAAGACCTCAGAAAAAAAATGGTAGACCTCCACAAGTCTGGTTCATCCTTGGGAGCAATTTCCAAACGCCTGAAGGTACCACGTTCATCTGTATAAACAATAGTACGCAAGTATAAACACAATGGGACCACGCAGCCGTCATACCGCTCAGGAAGGAGACGCGTTCTGTCTCCTAGAGATGAACGTTCTTTGGTGCGAAAAGTGCAAATCAATCCCAGAACAACAGCAAAGGACCTTGTGAAGATGCTGGAGGAAACAGGTACAAAAGTATATACAGTAAAACGAGTCCTATATCGACATAACCTGAAAGGCCGCTCAGCAAGGAAGAAGCCACTGCTCCAAAACCGCCATAAAAAGCCAGACTACGGTTTGCAACTGCACATGGGGACAAAGATCGTACTTTTTGGAGTAATGTCCTCTGGTCTGATGAAACAAAAATAGAACTGTTTGGCCATAATGACCATCGTTATGTTTGGAGGAAAAAGGGGGTTGCTTGCAAGCCGAAGAACACCATCCCAACCGTGAAGCACGGGGGTGGCAGCATCATGCTGTGGGGGTGCTTTGCTGCAAGAGGGACTGGTGCACTTCACAAAATAGATGGCATCATGAGGAAGGAAAATTATGTGGATATATTGAAGCAACATCTCAAGACATCAGTCAGGAAGTTAAAGCTTGGTCGCAAATGGGTCTTCCAAATAGACAATGACCACAAGCATACTTCCAAAGTTGTGGCAAAATGGCTTAAGGACAACAAAGTCAAGGTATTGGAGTGGCCATCACAAAGCCCTGACCTCAATCCTATAGAAAATATGCGGGCAGAACTAAAAAAGCGTGTGCGAGCAAGGAGGCCTACAAACCTGACTCAGTTATACCAGCTCTGTCAGGAGGAATGGGACAAAATTCACCCAACTTATTGTGGGAAGCTTGTGGAAGGCTACCTGAAACATTTGACCGAAGTTAAACAATTTAAAGGCAATGCTACCAAATACTAATTGAGTGTATGTAAACTTCTGACCCACTGGGAATGTGATGAAAGAAATAAAAGCTGAAATAAATCATTCTGTCCACTATTATTCTGACATTTCACATTCTTAAAATAAAGTGGTGATCCTAACTGACCTAAGACAGGGAATTTGTACTAGGAATAAATGTCAGGAATTGTGAAAAACTGAGTTTAAATGTATTTGGCTAAGGTGTATGTAAACTTCCGACTTCAGCTGTAAGTGGTCCCTTACAATGGGGGGACTATGTATAGAAAGTGTTGTAAATCTTTTATATAATAATTGTTTTATTTAATCCCTGTTTTCTCCCCAATTTCGTGATATCCAATTGGTAGCTTGGACTCGTACGGACTCGGGAGAGGCGAAGGTCAAGAGCCATGCATCCTCTGAAACACAACCTTGCCAAGCCACACTGCTTCTTGACACACTGCTCGCTTAACTCAGCCCGTTACAAGGAGTCGCTAGAGTGTGATGGGACAAGGACATCCCGGCTGGCCAAACCCTCCCCTAACCCGGACGAACGCTGGGCAAATTGTGCACCACCTCATGGGTCTCCCGGTCAAGGCCGGCTGCGACACAGCCTGGGATCGAACCCGGGTCTGTAGTGACACCTCTAGCACTGTGATGCAGTGCCTTAGACTACTGCGCCACTCGGAGGCTAGTGTTGTCATTTTTAAATGGTGAAACCGATATGTACACAAATAGCGTCAAATAAAAGCTGAGAATCTATACTTTAACCTCATAGTAATTGTTTAATTTCAAATCCAAACTTTTGGAGTATAGAGCCAAAAGAAGAAGGAAATCACTTGGGGGTGCAAATGAAACCACCCGTGGGCCAAATTCGGCCACTTGGGGGACCCTGATGTAGCGGATCTAGTTTCAGGCGTTTATTTTACGCCTGCTACGTTAGGTTAGTGTGTGTGTCTGTGTGCGCAAGTATGTAAGTCACACACTATTGGCCCCGCTCTGCTGGTCCGTGGTTCTTGGCTGCGTCTTGCATGAGGCCCCATGTTAATTTAAAAAGACGCTGGATCCCATTCTCTCCCTATGTTCCTGCCAGGAGCACCTCTGCATTCCACAGCGTGTGAGGAATTATTCCTTCCTGGGAATCCTGCAAATACATCTTAATCACCATGGAAACAGGCTAGTGGAGGGACAGATCCAGAGATGGGAATTCAGGAAGTTGCTCTGATTGGGTTGTGGTGGTGTCATTCAGTGAAACAGAGGTTCTGTTGTCTTGCCTTAAATAGCTATTGTATTTCATCACAACTGTGTGTTGTGTGTGTCTGTTTTCTGTATGTAAGCCTGTGTATTGGCGGTAACAGCAGCACTGGTCTGAGCACCCAGACCTCTACTAGTCTATTAGTCTGTGTGGTGGACATTGTTTTAAGCCCAAATGGACTACAGAGATTGACAGTAAATGCAATGAGAGAGAGTGTGTGTGTCAGCCAGCCAAGCAGTTACCCTGTCAGCTGCGGTGCTTCTATTCTAGGGCATGGGCACAAAATGGCTGCCGTTACTCACAGGATGTAAATGACATCTGCCTTGAGACTGGAGGACCAGCGGGGTCCAATGGACCGGGGGGAGATGCAGACTGCATTCAGTGACACACACACACTCTTGAGATGCAGGTCTGTGGTTGTAGACAGTGGTGCGGGAGCAGTTTTTTGTAAATGACGTCATCATTTCCTCAAAGTTTGTACCGACAGATGTAGCCAATTGATTAGCCTGTCATTATAGAATATGCATAAAATGCATCCTCCAATTGCAACGTCTGCCTATGCGCACTCATATTTCCTCAAGAAAATGTTCAATTTTTAATACCCTCAAACATCAAATTAGGAATAGGCTACCCAAAGTCAAAATAGGCCACCACCATTGTCAATCGCGAATTATAATTCTTCACGTTTTACCGGTGAAACGTCCAAACTGCATCTCCATGCCAATCATTTGATTGATCTCAATCAGTTTCATGGGAATATGCATTTAGATGTTCTTGAATTACTGTTTAATGAGTGAATTAGAACAGATGGTGTTAACAAACTATTAGCCTTTCTTGCATTTTGTTTCAATAAAGCATATATCCTGCCTAGTGGTGACCTCTGAGTTTTGGCGCATGACATTGTCTTTTTTGACTATTCAGCTTCAGCTTACCATCCTAAAATCTCATTAGAAATTAGGTGTTTTTGGTGTAACAGTAACGTTATAGGCTTACTATGCTATGATAGTATTGTATTCGTTTTTGTTATATAAAATGCGAATTAATCATTGTGATCTTGCGAGACATTCATTCAGCTTTGATTTAACTTTGATCACCATTGTGAGAAGTGATCATCTTATATTTATTATAATAATATATAATCATTATAATAATAATAATAAGTGATGAGTAGGACTATTAGGCTTAGGCAACAGATCTTGATGAGATGGCATTTTAAAGAAAATTTACACTCAAACTATCTTTTGATATTTGTTTCATTAGCTATTGTTGACATAGTCCCAAAATGGTTTGCTTGTCAGCAATCAAGTTTTCAAGATATGTAACTTTGAGAATGAAATCATCCCCGTATGATGCATTTTGCATCATATGATGCACAACGCAGCATCATACTGTATGATGCAAAATGCGTCATACAGGAATGATTTCTGTATTTTGAAAGTTACATATCTTGACAACTTGATTGCTGACGAGCAAAACATGTTGGAACTGTCAACAATGGACTAATGAAATAAATATCAAAAGATCTGGCAGTGATGTTAAAGAAGTTGAACCAACTTGTGGTGCTGGAGGTTAGCTGAAGGATAGCTGAATGATAGCTCTGCCATTCGGCCAGTTCAGGAACAAACAACAATAACTTGCAGTAGGCCTTTAGCATAGTAGGCCTACGACTACGTGGTATGCTATTTCCCACCCTGACATAGGCTTACCTTATTATTATTTTATTTTATTATTGGCCGAAGTTGTCAAGCCTCCGATTGGGCCTCAGCGGTGCACACACATAGCCTATAGTTCTTCATCCTTCTCACCACCGCCAGAGAGAAGACATGGAAGAAACCACCATTTACCTCTAGGCTGTTATACATATTTATTTGGTTTGACATTCTATCGTTTTTCATTAAATATTAGTCGTAATTAAATATAATCTATTTAGAATTGATCAGAATACATTTTACAGAAATAGTTTTACCTGTTGCATGTATTGTCCAATTGAAAAGAGTGAGGGAGCGTAGCTCCTCCGCAGTCCGCAGCACTACATCCTGGTTGTAGAGCAGTGTGGAGAGGCGGAGAGCAACACACACACACACACACACACACACACACACACACACACACACACACACACACACACACACACAGAGAGAGAGAGCAAAATCTAACAAATGTACAGCTTGTATCATGCTGACGTGTTTATCCCTGAACAAAGCAGTTGCTTTAGTTGCTTCCAAATGCAATTTAGGAGAAGAGCATGAGAAAATTTCAAATGGAATTCAGACAAAGCCTTTGCCAGCTGTGCAGTTCCTCGGCTGGGTGGGAAAATAAATAGTTTTCTATTTTCTGCTCTTTTCACCCTTGGCAATGTTGCAAAACCAGATTGTTTTATTATTGTGTGAGATTAAATATAATAGTCTCAAGGGGCTTCTTAGCTGTGGATTATGAGAGAATAGGTGAATGAGCACACACACACACACACACACACACACACACACACACACACACACACACACACACACACACACACACACACACACTGACTGAATGCGTTGTAGTAGGATGCTAGTTATTGATTTGATGTCAGTCAGCTCATTCAGGGATGTATTGACCCATACAGTAGGCCTACACTTCCATCCAGACACGTGACTGATCCAGGGCCTGGTCAATAACATGGTCCTGTATGTTATGTAACAAACTTCTCTATCTCGTAATGGACTAGGGCCTGTAAGGGCAAGGGTTGGCTGTGTGTTTGTGTGTCCGTGCACCCGTCCATCCGTGTGTGTTAAATCATTGCTTAACAATGCACTAGAGGAAGGGGAACGCTGGGTTTTGGTTTGGTGTAGGACTATCATTACGACAGGGGTACTATATACACTGCTCAAAAAAATTAAGGGAACACTAAAAGAACACATCCTAGATCTGAATGAATGAAATAATCTTATTAAATACTTTTTTCTTTACATAGTTGAATGTGCTGACAACAAAATCACACAAAAATTATCAATGGAAATCAAATGTATGCTGCTCCCTCTCCCTCTCTGCTCCCTCGCTCTCTGCATGCTCTCCCTCTGCTCCCTCTGGCTCCCGCTCCTCTCCTCTTCTGCCCGCTCCCTCTCCTCTCCTCTCCTCCCCTCCTCTCCCCTCCTCCCTCGCTCCCTCTCCCGCTGCCCCTTCCTCCCTTTTCTCCTCCGTCACTCTCTGCTCCCTCTCCTCCTCTCCTCTCTCTGCTCCCTCTCCTCCCTCTCTCTCTCCCTCTCTCCCTCTGCTCCCTCCTCTCCTCTCCCTCTGCCCCCTCTCCTCCTCTGCTCCCTCTGCCTCCCTCTCCTCCCTCTCCTCTGCCCTCTCCTCCTCTGCTCCCTCTCCTGTCTCCCTCTCCTCTCCTCCCCCTGCTCCTCTCTCTCCCTCTCCTTGCTCCCTCTCCTCTCTCTCTCCTCGCTCCTCCCCCTCTCCTCTCCTCTATCTAGCTCCCTCTCCCCTCCCTCCCTCTCCTCCCTCTGCTCCCTCTCCTCTCGTCTCTCCCTCTGCTCCCTCTCCTCCTCCTCTATCCTCTCTCCTCTGGGCCCCCCTCCCCCCTGCTCCTCCCTCTCCTCCCTCTGACCTCTCCCTTCTGCTCCTCTGCCCTCTTCCTCCCTCTGCTCCTCTGCTCCCTCGCTCCTCTCGTCGTCCCTCCCCTCCTCCCTCCTCTGCTCCCTCTCCTCCCTTTGCCCTCCCTCTCTCCTCCCTCTGCTCCCTCTCCTCCCTCTGCTATCCCTCTGCTCCCTTCCCTCCCTCTGCCTCCCTGCTCCCTCTCCTTCCTCCCCCCTCGTCCCTCCCTCTCCCTCCTCCCCTCTGCTCCCTCTCTCCTCTCTTGCTCTCCTCCTCCCTCTCCTCCCTCGTCCCTCTCATCTCCTCTCCTCTCTCTGCTCCCTCTGCTCCCTCTCCTTCCCCTCCTCTCTCTCTCCCTCTCCCCCCTCTCTCCTCCCTCGCTCCTTTCCCTCTGCTCCACTCCTCCTCCTCCCTCTCTCCCTCTCTCCCTCTTCTCCTCTCTCCCTCTCCTCCCTCTTCTCCTCTGTCCCTCTCAGTCCCTCTCCTCTCTGCTCTCTCCTCCCTCTGCCTCTCTCTCCTCTGCTCCCTCTCGCCCTCCTTCTCTCCTCCCCTCTACCTCTCCCTCCTGTCCCTCTGCCCCTCTCCTCCTCTCTCCTCCTCTGCTTCATGCTCCCTCGCTCCTCTCACTCCTTCACTCCCTCCTGCGCACTTCTCTGCTCCTCCTCTCCTCGTCTTGCTCCCTCTGGGCCTGTATCCTATTCGCTCAAACTTGCATCTATCTCCCTTTTCTGCTCGCGTCGGGACTTCCTTTTCACCATCATCCACCTCCTAAAAGAGTTAGTGTCGTTAGTGTTTGTGACCATCAGCAGAACTGCAATGGGCTATTTATTTTAGCTGCGCTGTGCAGAAGAGGAGCCATTGCATATTTCAACATCATAACCATAACAAACCTCAATAAGACTATTAAGCCGTGACAGAAATTAAATGAAACATGAAAACGCAGATATGAATACCTCCTTATTACTCACACATTTCACCAACAAAAGTGCAGTTACAGGAGAGAACACCTTTTGTGAATACAAAAACACACAGTCCCTGGGCTCATAACCGAAAGCTAGTTTGATGTGTGGAAATGTGACAGGCTTAACTTGATATTAGTATATTCATATATCTGGGAATAAATGGACTTATGGAGTCAGGGAGGGACATACTGATTTTAGCTGCATACACACAAATGTTGCTGCATACACACACAGTATACATGCACACACACACTAATGTGGTTCGAGGTTTTTGTGTCAATTGCACTACTCTGAGAACTATGAACACTATCAGTCGTGCTGGCGTTTTGATTGACAGCTCGCCCTGAGGGACTGGAACAAGAGATGGAGACTACAGACATCACACACACAATCTCAATGGATGATAACTTTATTGTAGTTACAGAGGAAGTGCTGATCTGATACAGTGGTTTGAGAAACCCCTTGACTACAGAGAGGAAGAGACAGTCAAAGAGAAATGGCTCATCCAGATACATAGGAGTACTCTTTCTAACAGAGGCAGGAGAGGAGAGCTGTGCTCATGTACTTACCGGTATGCAGACTGAATGTCTGCAGTGTTACTCTACAGTATGTTGCTGTAGGCTGAGGCTCAGAGACAGACTTGGATAGTGTCTGTTCTCCCATAGGAACAGCATGGCAAAATCACTTTTATTTATTTATATTTTTTATTTCACCTTTATTTAACCAGGTAAGCCAGTTGAGAACAAGTTCTCATTTACAACTGCGACCTGGCCCAGATAAAGCAAAGCAGTGCGATAAAAACAACAACACAGAGTTACATATGGGGTAAAACAAAACATAAAGTCAAAAATACAACAGAAAATATATATACAGTGTGTGCAAATGTAGCAAGTTATGGAGGTAAGGCAATAAATAGGCTATAGTGCAAAATAATGACAATTAGTATTGACACTGGAATGATAGATGTGCAAGAGATGATGTGCAAATAGAGATACTGGGGTGCAAATGAGCAAAATAAATAACAATATAGGGATGAGGTAGTTGGGCGGGCTAATTTCAGATGGGCTGTGTACAGGTGCAGTGATCGGTAAGGTGCTCTGACAACTGATGCTTAAAGTTAGTGAGGGAGATAAGTGTCTCCAGCTTCAGAGATTTTTGCAATTTGTTCCAGTCATTGGCAGCAGAGAACTGGAAGGAATGGCGGCCAAAGAAGGTGTTGGCTTTGGGGATGACCAGTGAGATATACCTGCTGGAGCGCATACTACGGGTGGGTGTTGCTATGGTGACCAATGAGCTAAGATAAGGCGGGGATTGGCCTAGAAGTGATTTATAGATGGCCTGGAGCCAGTGGGTTTGGCGACGAATATGTAGTGAGGACCAGCCAACAAGAGCGTACAGGTCACAGTGGTGGGTAGTATATGGGGCTTTGGAGACAAAACTTAGGGCCTGTGAGCTCTGACCTCCATCACTGTAGGCTGTCTATGGAGAGACATATCTCTATCTCTTAACCTCCTCCTCCTCCCATCATTACCACCACATAAGAGCTTCCCTCGCTCCTCAGATAGGAGAGGAGATAAAACGACAGGAAGTTAATTATCCGACGGGCAGGGAAAAACATGACAAGATTTCCTCTCTCTCTCTCCTCTCTATCTTTCACTCTGTTAATTACAGTGCTTGTTCTCCGCCGAGAGAGATGTTATTTCGCTCCATGAAGCTCTGCTCAGTGTGATCTAGGGCCTTTATAGCCCTGCGAGGAGTAAAAGTGAAAATTCCACTTAACAAAGAGCTGGTATTCACAGTGCCTCTCTCTCTCTCCCAGCCAGTGTTGATGTGATGTGGCATGACAATGGAGTAGTGGAGATATGATAAAGAAAAAGAGGGGGAGAAAAAAGATGATGAGGAGGAGGGTGTCACTTTTTTCCCTCAGACTCATTCATCATCAAGCATCACTCGTTTGTTCAGTCACTTTCTCTGGTTAACATGTCGAGAGATAGAGGGGGAGATGGTAGAGCGAGACAAAAGAGAGATGACATCGAGACAGATATAGTAGAAAGACGGGGAGCTTAGCATGCCTTGTTAAACTAGCTCAGTCCTGTCTCTCTGCTGTGTATGTGTGAAGCTCAGTCCTCTCTCTGCTGTGGATGGATGTAGCTCAGTCCTGTCTCTCTGCTGTATATGGATGTAGCTCAGTCCTGTCTCTCTGCTGTGGATGCCTGTAGCTCAGTCCTGTCTCTCTGCTGTATATGTGTGAAGCTCAGTCCTGTCTCTCTGCTGTGGATGCCTGAAGCTCAGTCCTGTCTCTCTGCTGTATATGTGTGAAGCTCAGTCCTGTCTCTCTGCTGTATATGGCTGTAGCTCAGTCCTGTCTCTCTGCTGTATATGTGTGAAGCTCAGTCCTGTCTCTCTGCTGTACAGTGGGGAAAACAGTATTTAGTCAGCCACCAAATGTGCAAGTTCTCCCACTTAAAAAGATGAGAGAGGCCTGTAATTTTAATCATAGGTACACGTCAACTATGACAGACAAATTGAGGAAAAAAATCACATTGTAGGATTTTTAATGAATTTATTTGCAAATTATGGTGGAAAATAACTATTTGGTCACCTACAAACAAGCAAGATTTCTGGCTCTCACAGACCTGTAACTTCTTCTTTAAGAGGCTCCTCTGTCCTCCACTCGTTACCTGTATTAATGGCACCTGTTTGAACTTGTTATCAGTATAAAAGACACCTGTCCACAACCTCAAACAGTCACACTCCAAACCCCACTATGGCCAAGACCAAAGAGCTGTCAAAGGACACCAGAAACAAAATTGTAGACCTGCACCAGGCTGGGAAGACTGAATCTGCAATAGGTAAGCAGCTTGGTTTGAAGAAATCAACTGTGGGAGCAATTATTAGGAAATGGAAGACATACAAGACCACTGATAATCTCCCTCGATCTGGGGCTCCACGCAAGATCTCACCCAGTGGGGTCAAAATGATCACAAGAACGGTGAGCAAAAATCCCAGAACCACACGGGGGGACCTAGTGAATGACCTGCAGAGAGCTGGGACCAAAGTAACAAAGCCTACCATCAGTAACACACTACGCCGCCAGGGACTCAAATCCTGCAGTGCCAGACGTGTCCAGGCCTGTCTGAAGTTTGCTAGAGTGCATTTGGATGATCCAGAAGAGGATTGGGAGAATGTCATATGGTCAGATGAAACCAAAATAGAACTCTTTGGTAAAAACTCAACTCGTCGTGTTTGGAGGACAAAGAATGCTGAGTTGCATCCAAAGAACACCATACCTACTGTGAAGCATGGGGATGGAAACATCATGATTTGGGGCTGTTTTTCTGCAAAGGGACCAGGACGACTGATCCGTGTAAAGGAATTAATGAATGGGGCCATGTATCGTGTGATCTTGAGTGAAAACCTCCTTCCATCAGCAAGGGCATTGAAGATGAAACGTGGCTGGGTCTTTCAGCATGACAATGATCCCAAACACACCGCCCGGGCAACGAAGGAGTGGCTTCGTAAGAAGCATTTCAAGGTCCTGGAGTGGCCTAGCCAGTCTCCAGATCTCAACCCCATAGAAAATCTTTGGAGGGAGTTGAAAGTCTGTGTTGCCCAGCGACAGCCCCAAAACATCACTGCTCTAGAGGAGATCTGCATGGAGGAATGGGCCAAAATACCAGCAACAGTGTGTGAAAACCTTGTGAAGACTTACAGAAAACGTTTGACCTGTGTCATTGCCAACAAAGGGTATATAACAAAGTATTGAGAAACTTTTGTTATTGACCAAATACTTATTTTCCACCATAATTTGCAAATAAATTCATAAAAAATCCTACAATGTGATTTTCTGGATTTTTTTTCTAATTTTGTCTGTCATAGTTGACGTGTACCTATGATGAAAATTACAGGCCTCTCTCATCTTTTTAAGTGGGAGAACTTGCACAATTGGTGGCTGACTATATACTTTTTTCCCCCACTGTATATGGCTGTAGCTCAGTCTTATTCCAAGGTTCCTGAATATGAAGGAACTCCACCACAGCCTTCCAACTACTCTACTATAGAATGTAAACACACAGTACAGTACCTGTCCATACCTGTGTTTAGGACAGGAACTTAGATAAAGACTCAGGCTGCGTCAGAAATAGCACCCTATTTCCTATAGTGCACTACGTTTGGGCCCAGGGCCTGGTAGTGCACTAAATAGGGATAATGATGCAATTTTCAGATGCACAATATACTTCACCCATGGGACCATAACAGCAGTAGTAGTAATATCTAGAGTTGATGTTTCAGTGACCCATGACCATCAGTCTCTGATGACCTCTTAAAGGGAATGGGCTTTACTTAAAGGGTAATGGACTGTGACGTGAAGCGTAACTATCATAACCCCACCGCGTCTTCTCTTTGAGCTTTTTGTTTGGTCATGCTTTCTCATCGCTGTGCTATGCTCCACATTATCTCTTCAATGGCTAATTGATCTTAACTGGCAGAACCTGTCGCACAGTTATATTTAGGTGTACAAAGCATGATTTCTTCACGTTTACTCAGATGCCATATACTGTATATACATGTCACTTGATAAATGGTTAAGGGAGGGGTTCAAATACTAACACAATGCTTTTAGTTTGGTTAAGTGCTGAGAGCATGGAGGTGGTCCCAGACATGAGTTATTTTAGCCCCTCAAAGGCCTAGCCCTAGTCTCTACTCTCTGGTATGGCATACAGCTGTGGCACTGACTGTCGTTGTGTGTGTGTGTGCACGTGCACGTGCACGTGCTTGTGTCTGAGAATGTGCAGCTACACAGGGCACAGTCTGATCGATTTAGAGTCCCCAGGGAAACAAGGGAATTCCCTGAAAGGGTTATTCAGGGTACAGAGCAAAAATAATCACCAGCTCTAAGAAAACATTCCTGCTCTTTAGATCAAGAACAGACCCTCCCTCCCTCCCTCCCTCCCTCCCTCCCTCCCACCCTTCTTCCCCCATCCTTCTTTCTTCACACTGAAATGCTAATGTATGGGTCAAGTGAGCTACTGTTGAATGAAATGGGAACTATGCATATTGTATTAGTTAGCTCCCCATAGATCATCATTTGTATTCCAGAAGATGAATCTATCTCCTTTTTTCTTTTCTCTCTCTCTCTCTCTGTATCTCTATCGCTCTCTCTATCTCCCCCCCCCCCCCAGTCGGAGTTCTCCAGTGCGGCCATCCTCCACCAGGCGAGGAGAGACCAGGTAGCAGAGTCATGTCGGGCCCACAGTGCATCCAGCCGCAAGCGCCGGGTCCTGACCCCTGGTGACCTCAAACACCTGGTGGTGGATGAGGAGCATGAGCTCATCTACTGCTATGTCCCCAAGGTGGCCTGCACCAACTGGAAACGTGTCATGATGGTCCTCACCGGACGCGGCAAGTACAGGTCAGTAGCATAGGAAACTAATATTACGATTTCAGATACTGTACCAATACACATTTTCCGATAGGGACACAATGAATAAATGATTAAAGATGTAAAAAGAAAAGCTGAATAGTAGATTATGTTGTTTTATTGATAATAATACTACTACTACTGATACGACTACGCTGTCACAAAACATTAAGAACATCTTCATAATATTGAGTTGCATCTCCCCCTTTTGCCCTCAGAACTGCCTCAATTCTTCGGGGCATGGACTCGACAAGGTGTCGAAAGCGTTCCACAGGGATGCTGGCCCATGTTGACTCCAATGCTTCCCACAGTTGTGTCAAGTTGGCTGGATGTCCTTTGGGTGGTGGACCATTCTTGATACACACGGAAAACTGTTGAGCGTGAAAAACCCAGCAGCGTTGCAGTTCTTGACACAAACCAGTGCGCCTGGCTACCTACTACCATACCCCCGTTCAAAGGCACTTAAATATTTTGTCTTGCCCATTCACCCTCTGAATGGCACACATACACAATCCATGTCTCAATTGTCTCAAGGCTTAGAAATCCTTCTTTAACAAGTGACATCAATAAGGGATCATAGATTTCACCTGGATTCACCTGGTCAGTCTAGGTCATGGAAAGAGCAGGTGTTCTTAATGTTTTGTAGACTCAGTGTTTATAACTGCTGTTACTATTACTACAACTCCTAATACTACAATTGAGATACTTTTCATTGTTTGTGTTGTCGTTATTCTGTTCCTCATGGTCTTTACTTCTGTCCACCTCAGTGACCCTATGGAGATCCCTTCCAACGAGGCCCACGTCCCGTCCAACCTGAAATATCTCAACCAGTACAGCATTGCTGAGATCAACCACCGCCTCAAGAGCTACCTCAAGTTCCTGTTCGTCCGGGAGCCCTTCGAGAGGCTCGTCTCCGCTTACCGCAACAAGTTCACCCTCAAGTACAACTCCTCCTTCCACCGCCGCTTCGGCACCAAGATCGTCCGCCGCTACCGCAAGAACGCCACGCAGGAGGCGCTGCTCAACGGCGCCGACGTCAAGTTCCGGGAGTTCGCCGAGTATCTTGTCGACCCTGCCACACAACGTGACGGCCCGCTAAACGAGCACTGGCAGACGGTGTACCAGCTGTGCCACCCCTGTCACATCCACTATGACCTGGTGGGCAAGTACGAAACCCTGGAGGATGACGCCAACTATGTTCTGCGGCTGGCGGGGATGGGTGAGTCGATGCACTTCCCGACCTTCGCCAAGTCCACCCGCACCACCGACAGCATGACGGCCCAGTTCTTCAGCAACATCAGCTCCCAGCAGCACGCCCAACTCTACCAGCTGTATAAACTGGACTTCCTCATGTTCAACTACTCCACGCCAAGCTATCTGCGACTGGACTAACGACTAGAGGACCAGTACATGACTAGCCAGCTGGGGCTCTGGGCACGATCCACTTTTAATAAGAGAAGAAAAAAAGAAGAGGAGAATGGATATTTTTGCGAAAACTTTATTAAAAAACTGTCATCGCTATTTCTGGGGGGTGAACAGGAAGGGCTGAGGTGAATGGGAGGGACAGAGATTGAGGAAAGGAGCTGGATCCAATTTAATGTGAAAGATACTTGGTATTCCAATCAGCATTGTTCTGAAGGAGGAAGTGGAGATCCTACAGCATCAGAATGCAGGGTTCGGGTGGAGCTGATGTCAGAGGTTTTCTAAGAGGGGAAATCGAGGAGAGTAGCAGGACTCTTGGAGAGTGGTCGATGTGTGTTCTGTTTGTAAATGAGGTGGGACTCTTGACCAATTAGGCTGCTTTGGATTCTGCACAGCAAACGGTGGCCTCGCATGCACGCAACCTGGCCCCAAAGCATCATGGGAGCTGAGCTTATTTTATAATGAACAATAATGAAACTCCGTTAAATTGTAAAACACATCCATGTCCTTCAGTTGGCTGTATCCTAGATGTGTTTGATAGCACCCACCAACCCTCTCTTTCATAGCACCCACCAACCCTCTCTTTCATAGCACCCACCAAATATACATTTGATAAGTAAACTGGCTCTTGGCTCCCCCTCAAGCCCTCCTCATGATAGCTGGCTATTGACTTTGTTCTAAATACCTCTAGAACCATCAGGCGTAAGCAGAGGAGCTACAATTTACAGCCAACTGCTCTAAAGTAGTAGCTATGGTGTCAAGATCTCATCATCATAGGTGAAAAGAACTCCTGAATCCTGAGGTTTGCCAGGTGAGGCCTCAGACTCCTACAGCAGGGTCTGAAACGGCGGCCATTTTAGAAAGACGCTGAGCACCCTCAAGGCTTTGAGCCACAGGAAGTGGTCAGAAGGAGACAGGAAGTGCCCATGTGAATGGGTGTACCGGATGTGATTGACAGGTGTTAGGTGCCTCCCACTGACCCAGAGAGGAACTGAAGAAGAGATGGCCTGTGTGAAACGGTTTAAGGGACAGGATCTCATAACCCCGCCCACGCCACGCCCCTAAACCAGGGAGGGACCCAGCGTACACGCTTCCCCCACCCCCCGCTTCGACGACCAAACATGTCTTTTAGTAAATGATTTTTTTTATGTCTTGGTTTTATTGTCTTATGAAAACATTGCTGCGAGCAGCAATAAAACATATTATTTAAATTACTTTTACTGTCGCGGGGGGAGGGAGATAAAAAAAAAAATCTTGGCAGATGAACGTTTTAGTAGATTTTGTAAAGATAAAATTGTTTTTATTAGTTTTGTTTTTGATCCTGAGTTGCCTCCGGTACACTGTTAATGATAACATTTTCATTTTCTTCCTTTTTCCGAAGGGCGTACAATACAATATAGTTAAGTCCATGGCTTTGGTTTCTCTGTGCGTGAGAGCTGGGATATCCCATGGGATTTAGAGTTATTCCCTCTCTCCCCCTTAGTCAACTGAGTCTGGTGCCAAAGGGTTGGAACACTGCCAATGACAGAGAGGGACAGAGTCAACTCAACTCTTATCAGTACTTTTCCATACATCCAATAATATACAAAACATTTACAATCATGTGATTGAAAACATAAACTATAGCATGAGAAAAGTATTCTACAAACATATCTACGTCTACAGTGCAGACTACTGCTCAGTATCAGAAACAAGTAGTGGTTGCTTTGATAATGATCGATAATAGAACCGTCTACCTTTGTCTGGCGGTGAAAGTCAGGTCTGTGTCCGCCCTCCTCAGGTGAAAGTGCAGTGTCTAATCATTACTCTGTGTAGTCTATGGGATCACAGAGAGTTGTATACACAGTGCAGGAGTGGGCAACGGAGAGAAGACAACTTAATTAGCCAAGCTGGGAGGGAGGGAGGGAGGGAGGGAGGGAGGGAGGGAGGGAGAGTCCTCTTTATTCTTTACACTCCTTTGTCATTCTTCTTCCATTCAGACTTCAAAGAGAGAGGGACGTTTATTGGGAAAGTTGTGTATTTTTATATTGCTAGGTCTGAGCAGAAGTAACTGCAGCACAGAATAAATGATTCACTTCTATATTCATTTGTCCCTCAGACTGTTAGTTTAGACAGGCGTGGTGACTGTAATAACAAGCTCACTTCATTCTGTCATAACTTCTAAAATATTGGTGGCAGTTGTGTATGTATATTTGCGTGTGTGTGTGTGTATGGCGTTATAATGAGCAACTGGTTTGGAGGAACAAGGCCCTCCACATCTGGCTCTGATAAAGAGGAAGGCTACTGGTTTGGCCTACATCACCGACCCCATCCACTTACAGGAACAATGGGAGCATTCTGAGCTCTCCCTCCTCCTGAGACACACACACACACACACACACACACACACACACACACACACACACACACACACACACACACACACACACACACACACACACACACACGTGCTGATGTTGATGCCACGCAGCCTCTTACTCAGCAGCTGTACTCTAGTGAGGGTTGGTAAGTGAGGTACGGACACATCTAAAACACCACACACTCAGCTTATCTCGAACTGCCTATTTAGCCTCCAAAATGAGACACTGAATACACAAAGGCCTCACAACTCTGCAAACAAACAGTTATGGAGTCCTCTCCTATGCTCTCCTCTTGACTCCAACCTCTCTCCCAAAATGGCCCCATATAAAAACAGAAGTGGATTTTTGGACAGTGTCAGTGATCCCTACCCTCGCAACAGGAAAAGGGCAGGCGTCTTATACAAACAGAGCTGTTAAAATCCCACAGAGGTCCAGCCTAACGGTCCCTGTGGAAATACTGACCTGATTCAAACCTTTTTTATTCTCCATTCTTATTCCATATCCTAGCTCACGCTACCTAGAAATCCACCCGAATCCAATTCTGACATGTCCAGTTAGTGTTCTTGTGCTGTATAAGTATTTATTGACGAGTGTACGGGTATATTTATGTTGTTGGAGAACGACGTCTATTGTTGGACTGAATCACATATTTACTGTGTTGCTAAATGCAGAAGCACAGGAAGTGCACGCTCCTCTGCACATACGTAAACATATCCACTCTGGGGCCGGGGATTTCTAGCCAGAGATAAGCATGGATGGGGCAGTTATCTGTCAGTGTTTTTCTGTGAATAGTTTATCTTTCTGTCTATGAGATATTCTTATTCAATCAGTCTCTGTGTAACAGTGAAAACCTCCCCATAATGCCCATGGAACTTCCTTTGTGTTACACATAAAAGGGTCCCCATGATGTTTCCTGTTGTTACAAATTAGCCCTTTGGCACCAACTCTCAGACCATGAGGCTTTTTCAGAAATGTTCAAAAATATTGCCAACTGTTGAAATCACTGGAAGGTTGTTCGAGCAGATCTCCCACTCAACTGCACAGAAACCAAAGCCTGGAATGGTAATATAGCTATTTTATTTTCCTTTTCCCTGTCTTAATTGTTTTTCTATGTTGTTCTGTTGCATTCATCTGTCAGCAACGCTCCACAGCAGCCTCCACACTTTTCATTGACCTCATAGAAATAGAACATATAGATAGAACACAGTTTCTTAGTTATGACCTGTCCGACCTGCAGCATACGTGTGTTGAATGGAACCATGATAATTTTGTTAATTTCAATGATTATGTCCATTCTATGGTTGCATCCTACATAGCATACAGCACATGACCACAGGGCACTCCTTTCACCACAGACAGTACCTTTTATAGGGTCACCACACAGTCACTGGGTTCTGAAATCATCTGTGCCTTTTCACTCCTCTCATTGGAGCACTTTACTGTCATCTGATTGGTCAGTCAAGACACACACACACACACACACACTCTCCCTCTTTAACTGTCTGATTAAAGTTGCATTTATAAACAGCATCCCACACACTAACACAGTCGGAGCACCTGTAGAGAGACTCATGTGACCACATCAAGAGGCGTTGCAAATAGAGGGTTTTTGAAATGCTTGCTCTGCTCAGATCTTCCCTCCTCTCCCAAGCCATCAGATACTGGAAGGTTTTCTGTGGCTCTGTGTTACTCAGAGGTTGTACGTATACCCTTCAAAACCACACGTCAACCCTCAGATCTCTGTGTGCTGGTTTCAGTGTTCTCATCCGTTGCCAGATGGTGAGAGTGTGTGTTGAGGTGTGTTCTCTTAAATCAATGTTGTTGAAAGTCTAGTGTGTGTGTGTGTGTGTGTGTGTGTATTGGAGAGGTCGCTCTGTACTGTACTGTACCTGCGATGCCTTAGAGAGTAACTCCATGAACTCATTCCAACAGGCTACGTCATATTTATTTATTAATTCACCAACGACTACCCATAATACACTCCTCCTGGCGGTCTCCATGGCAACACACCTGGACTTTCTCTTTCTCATGGGACAGACTGTCGGTTCATCGTCAAGGCCCTCTCACCAAAAACATGAATAATTGAATATATCGACTGCCGGTTGTGGGAGATGAGCTGTGATCCCCCAGCAGTGTTCCGTGGTTCATTCTGTCTGATGTTTTCACAATAAAACGCCTCAGAAACTCAAACCCAGAGGCCCCGGACTACTGTTTCTTTTCACTGTCTGCATACAAGCAAGCATACACGTGCAGACACAACAAACACACAAAATACTATATATCTAACACACATTTGTCACAGACTCACATTATCACTCACTGCCCAGTGGTTTCATAGGTATCGTCTTGTCAACCCATGGGCACCCCATGCCACCTGATGATTCCAAGCTTGGCATTACAACACATGCCATCTGTTTTGTTTGTGGAAAGCCTGCACATGCCGGTCTGCCAAAACAATTTCTCTGGTTACCATGGTTACTCCTGAGACATTATTCTTGTGCTCCATGATGGAAGTATATTCATGTGGTATGTATAAGTTAGAAGCTATCGTGTGTATCACATTGATAGCTTCTGCTATGTGTGCTATCTGTGTAAAATGTGCCTGCTATC